TTATATTAGAGTAGGAAATGTGAACTGGGTGGCCCAAAAGCAGATGTCAAATGATTTTCTCTAATCTCCTGGTAACTCTGGAGCAGAACTTCGAGTTTCTATGAAATTGGTCTGCCTTATCGCAGTCCAAGAATCAATTGACATCAACACTCATATCTGGATCTCCCACATGCATCCCTGGGACTGTGGGACATCCTCTCTGCTGTCTTAATCAACAGACTTGAGCACAAGCTCTGCTTATTAACCATCTACTAAGTACCAGGTGCTATGATAGGAACAAAGAAGGAACCACCCTTACTTTGCAGCTGCTCTTGGAGAAGTCACTTGGTAATTGTCATGCCCTGAACTAAAATGATGTCCATGGGGTTGTGTGTCAAGCTTGGCCTCTTGAGCCCATCTTTGCTAAAGAGAAAAAAAGAAAAGAAAAGAAAAACAAAAACAAACACACAAAAAAGCATAATAGCTTCTATAGAGGACTTCTTCCTCTTTTCTGCGGAAATCATCTCAGGATGGCTAAGAAGAGAACCTCGCAGGTGGACCTGCAAACCCACAGAGCCTGGGGAGCCTCAAATCACCCAGTTTCTGGGTTGCCTCCTGTCTGTTTAGGGCCCATGGAGTGGGAGTCCTTTGGGCATGTCAGGACTTACCCTGACATCCTTGGCATAACTGAGCATCTAGCTAATTTAGAGTAGAACTTGGAGTGGTTAGTTGGACTCACTCCTTCTAGCACACATCCTAGGTGTGTGCCCCATGCATGGATTCCAGGGTCCATCTCTCCTTTCAGAAAGGAGTTTGGGAACAAGCTGGAGAGAGCCACATGGTCTGGTGGTATCAGTGCCTTCACAGGCACACAGTGCTGTGGGTGTTTCAGAGTCATCTACTTGCAACCCCATTATCTAATGAGTTGGTGTGTTTTGCATGGGAAGTTTTAGGGAGATAGGAGACCTAGGCCAAGAATGTTCCCAGAATAGGCAATGACCAGAAGCAGCTTGGAAAAGGAGAAGTATTCCAGCTTGTGTCCACAGGCCTGAACTTGAATTCCAGTTGTACTATTTAGTGACCAGGAGAGCAGAGCAAGTCACCTTGCTTTTCTGAGCCTGTTTCCTTGTCCGTGAGATGGCTCTAATGCTATCCTTACAAATGTCATATAGCAGAATAGATAATGTCCCTAGAGCATATGACAGACAGTGGCAATGTGTATTAATGGCTCCCACACTGAAACCAGCAGCAGTTTAGCCAAATGTCTGACTCTTGTTCACCATGGACTACCATATGGTAAAACTGTAACTGCACCAAAGGAGAACATTCCTTTAAGGGAAAGGAAAGATTCTGGCCATGTGCTACATCTATAAATGATACTTTTAGGAAGAGTAAGCCTAGGCAAAGCAAAGATGATCATGAAGGATTGGTCAATAATAAAGGCAGAGTCTTTCTTAGCGAGGCTGCTCAGAAGCCTGGTACCTCGGCACAATGCCAATCTTGCTGCCATAGAAACTTACTAGAATATGACCATGTACACTTGTTCTCTGAAAAGTCAGTCTCTTGTCTGGTACCTATAGTCATGTTTTGATGGACAAACAGAGTCACAGACATCATCAACAAAAGCACTCTGTTCACCCTAAGTCTGAGGAGTAAGAGTGCTTGTTATGTTATAATGACCCAAGTTCAAGTCCCCAGCACCCATATAAAAAGAGCCAGGTGAGTACCTCAATAACCTGAAGGTTTTTGGATGGAGACTGGAAGATACTGTGGGCACAGTGACTAAACTGGAGCTATAAATGGTGAAAACTGACACTCTTGGCTACTTGTTGCAGATGTCACATGTGCATGCACCACTCTACATAGGTTTATGAGAATGGTAAGAATTATTCATGGAAGCTACTAAATGATACACAAAAGGCCATTGCAATGATTTAAAGTCTGCAAGTTCAGGTTTTAGATGCTGTCTATGTGACTAGCTTTTTTGGGGGGAGGGGGAGGGTCACTGTGCATACTTAGAAACAACCAAAGATCTCTGCTTCAGGCCCAGTGGGAGGCTCTGGAACTCTGTCATTCATTTTGACAAGCCAAGATGGAAACAAACTCAGGGAAGATGTCAGTGAGGTATTACTAGACTTTGGTGGTAGCTCATGCTTGCTGTGGTAGATGGCAGTGGAGTGGATGCTGGGAATTTCTTCTGTGTAGCTTCCCAGAAGGTTTCCTAGTGCAACTGTTTCTAAAGGTCCTTTGGAGATGGTGGCATGTACAGCCTTGCAAAGGACACTTGGTCTCTGCTTTGTTCAGAGTTTTTAAGAAGAACACTTCCCCAGAGTCTATGAAGATGGCAGCAAAGAATATACCTCTCCCACCATGGGGGCAGGGGACATGAGAAACTGGCAAGCACACAGTGTTAAGTCCCAGGACTCTGTCAGGGATTTTCTTAGCCATCTTCCCATCTAGGCACAGGAGCACAATGCTTTATGAAGGAAAAGTGTTACTTTATTGCCTATGAGCATATTGAGCCTGGGGTGACAGGGGAAGAAAGTTTAAAATGGAAACTTGTCCCCAAATGGATGACATAAAGCCCCCCAACCCCTCCGCAGCCTTCAAAAGTGATAATGTGGGAAGAGTAACAAAAAGGGGCCCCAGGAGGCTTCTCTGTCCAGCAAATTGCTCCAGGAGACACTGCTGCACGCTGTGTGTACAGCACCCCCTGGAGCACACAAGAGGCACTACTTAGTGACATCTTGGGACCCCGAAGCCAAACAGACACGGAAATCCTGTACTTGTATCATTTGCATTTAGATTTTATAATAGTTTTGAGAGCCTGAGAACTGAGGTCCAGAGATGTTACGCCACTCACTCAGGTCACAAAGCAGAAAAACAAGCATAAAGATTAGAATGGTCTTTGTTTTGAAGCCCCACAGCATACTCAGAATAGCTGCAAATAGCTAGAGAAGGCAAGCATGCTCCCTGTGTGCAGGAAAGGCAGCCTGGGGTGTGCTTCTTACTGTGTGAGGAATCACTCAAATGGCTAGAGCTGGTAAGAGATGAGGAAGGGAGATCTGATTAGTGGGGAGAGAATGAGTTTGGGGGTCAGGGAAGATATGCAAAGACACCCAGAGGAAACAAGAAGAAGGATATGAGTGGGTGTCCAATGGGGAGGGCACAGGGCACATTGGATTGGATACCACCGGTGTCACTACATGTGCATTCAGTGCCCTAGAGAGCTCGGAAATGCTCAAAATGCCAGTGGGACCAAGAGGTAACTGCAGATGCAGGCGAAGACTTGACACCATCAAAACTCTGTTTCGCCAGGTGGTGATGGTGCACACCTTTCATCCCAGCACCCAGGAGGTAGAAGCAGACAGATCTCTGTGAGTTTGAGGCCAGCCTGGTCTCCAGAGAGACTTTCTGGACAGCCAGGGCTACACAGGGAAATACTTGTCTCTCTGAAAAAGAGACAGAGGAAGGAAGGAAGGAAGGAAGGAAGGAAGGAAGGAAGGAAGGAAGGAAGGAAGGAAGGAAGGATAGGGGAGGGAGTGAGGGAGAGAAGGAGAGAGGGAGGAGGAAAGAAGAAAGGGAGGGAGGGAGGAGGGAGGGAGGGAGGAAGGAAAGAATGGAGGAAGGGAGGAAGGAAGGAAGCTCTGCTTCCTCTATAGCTTATATGGCTTGAGGCAGTATAGGCAATGGCCTGCAGCTGGAGGAACAGTGTCCTCCATTTGGAGATGCCAATAAATGTCTACAGGCTTTCTGCATCTTCTTCAGGTAGCAGTTCATTCTGATGATGAGGAAGAGACCTTGAACTGCTCAACACACAGTCCACTGCCTGGAGAGACTAGATGGTTCCCTCCAGAATCCTGGGAACAATCCTAGGCAGACAGGCCAGGCGAGACTCTTCCACACAGAGAGAGCCAGAAGGATGGACCTGCTCTGCCTCTCATGAAATTAACTTTGATTCAAGTTCTCAGACTTGGTCCCAGGCCTTCCTGAGAGTATCTGCCCTAACAGTAAATTCTGGTTCCTAATAAATTTAGAATTGAAAATTAAATCAGCTCAACGATTCAGAGGCTTTCCTGGTCTAATGGTCTTCGATTCTTATTTCTATTAAGCAAAGAACATCTACACTGGGTGTACAGTTTTATACTGAAAGCAATGTATGTTCTCAGCAGGCAGTATAAGGGCAGAAACTGTGGAGAAATCATATTACACACACAGGAGGATATTAGATATTTCAAGGAATCCTAGAGTGGATTATTTTATGAAGTGAAGAACAATTTTTTGCAAATCAAATAATCACGGAGCACTCATACAAGCCGTACCAGAGCGTGTTTGGGTGGAGGCTGTTACTCTGGAAACTGAACACATCTACAACGACACTATTCTTAAATTTCACTTGTCAAGCCACCCACCTCAAATGGCACAGCAATTTCATGAAGGAATCTAAATGTTTATAAAAACTCGTATTTATTATGTGCACACAAACCCTGTTATTAGCCTGACCCTTCTAGTTCTCTGTGGTTTGAGTTGCTATTACATCAACTCACTCCTTTCAGCCCAGAAATAAATGAATTCCATGTGAACAAGAGCCCCGAACGCTGTCTGCAACAAGACTGTGTGAACCAGTATCTATGTCCTGTATCCACAGGCAATGGCTGTCTCAGCTCAGCCTGATGTACACATAAAGTTGGAGGCCTTCGGTGTCAGCCTCTGTGTTTGGTAGGGTATGTGGGATGACCTCTGGTCCCATGGTCTAATTGATGACGTATATTTTCCTGTTCCAGTGTCATCAGGTCACCAGAGTAGAATGTGACATGTGGGTTTGAGGATTTGAATCAAAAGGTAGTCATTTATTTGCTTGAACACTGGGTACTATGTAAACACTTAGTGGGTCAGCTTCCTCAGCTGTGCAATAGGAACATTCAGATATATTTTGTAGACAGACAGACAGACAGGGAGACAGGGAGACAGACAGAGCTTCAACGGCCCTGAGGATAGAAAGCAATGTAGCCTAAGCCTACCTTACAAAGTTCTGCCACTCCTGCAGGAATAGTAGGAATGGGAGGAACAGACTCAAGGACACCATTGTCTGTGCAGCCTTTCACTCTGGGCTCCTGTGGCCCACGTCAGGTATGCTGCATAGCACTTCCTGAAGGGTAAAGAGAAGGACACAGCTTGAGGTAGCCCATGGAATAGCTGGGGACCAGTCTTCCTGGAGCTTCTATTGCTGTGCCCCAGGGAACTTTCAAAGGTCAATTATTACCCATTCGGGCTTAAGCTCTGCCAAGCCATCAGTCACATTAATGGGAAGGCACGTCATCTATCCTTCCACATTAAGGAGCTCTCTGGGAAAGCCCTGGGGCCATCAGGAAGCAGAGCTGGTAGTCTCTGTGACCCTAAAATTCCGTGCCACCAAGTCATCCTCCATACATCTACAGGGCTCTTCTTTGGGTAGGTGGAATGGCCTCCTCCTTGCTATAGGCAGAGCCCACACAGGGAGCCCTCTTAGGATGGTGACATCATCACAGAGCCTTCCCACCCCATTCTCTCCAGAACTACAAAACATTTAATTCCTCCTTGAATGAAAAAATATGACCTACTCTTGTGTTCTGTCATTGAAATGAGAAAGCCAAACACAGGGGACATCCTTCCAAGATTCATGGTCAAACCAGGATTGGCACCCAGCCCATGGCAGCCCCAGCTCCTGAGAGACCAGTGGAGCCTACTACAGCAGCCAGTAGCTGACGCACATTCACCCATGCCTTTCCTCCCTCTTTGGGTACAATGACCTGGAAAGGGTAAAGGAAATTCTGTTTCCTTTCCTCCTATTCGTCCTTGTCCTTCTGTCCTGATCAAAATGAATGGAGAGAAGCTCCTCGGCTCCACAGCTCTATAGGCTTCAATTTTTTGCAAGTTGGCTTTGGTATAAGAAGGATTAAGTGAAATTCACCCATGCCCTGCACAATCACTTGCCCCAGATGTTTATAGCAGGTTTATTCATTACTGCTTAAAAGAGGAAGCAACCCTATATGTTTTCACTCATCAGTTAATAAGGTGTGGCATGCGTATAGAATGGAGAGGTGCCTTGGTCCTGCCTCAACAAGATGATAGGATAGACTTAGTAGATTTCCTAGGGGAGGCCTTACTCTCTCCAAGGAGCAGATGGGGGTGGGCTTAGCAGGAGGCAGAGGAGGGAAGTGGAACTTGGATTGGAATGTAAAAAATTAATTAATAAAAATATTTAAAAGAACATTACTGAAAAACACTTCTGATGGTGGGATAGTATAATGGGAATTATATCCTGCTAAGGCTGAAAATGCACTGTAAAGTGCCTGAAATATAGTAGGGATGCAACAAACTTCCTCCCATCCCCATCCAGCTTCTGTTCCCTCAGCGTTGAAGTAACCTCAGGTGACCCTGGCTCATCACACACTGCCATCCTTTGGCTACTTGATCCTAGAGCACAGAAAAATTTGTTTTGGCAACCATTCTTCCTATGCTTCCTGGCTATACAAGCATTTGTTCTCATATCTGTGTTCTCCCAACCATGAGCGGGAGGGGGTGTCAAGTCCAGCAGAGGAAGTAGAGTCCTGGGTCTCCATCAGGCTACATTGGATGGATTATGATCTAAAATTTCAGCTCTGGGTACTACCACTCCCCAAACACTTCCAGGGCTGTTACCTGGAGCTTCAGCTCCTACTAGTATACCAGGCCAGCCTCATGGAGCCCTGAACAGCCAGAAGATATTCTCAAGACCTTGGCCTGGTCACTGCACCACATGTAGGCTTCACACAAGAGTGTTTGCAACATCCTGCCTCATACATCATCATCTCAGGTACTTTCTCTTTGTCTTTCTGCTCTTTGTCATTTAGCACTTCTACTATATCCAGCACTTTATTCTTTCCCCACAGCTCTTGTATCCTGGAGTCAGCATCATTAATCTTCTATTCCCATGGAAGATAGCCTCTCTGAAGAGTCAATGCCAACTCAAAGACAATCCCAGGGTCCACAGGACCACTTAAAACCCTTGATACTGGAGAGATGGCTCAGAAGTTAAGAGTCTGACTGCTCTTCCAGGGGACCCAACTTTGATCTCCAGCACCCACATGGAAGCTCAGAACCATTTGTAATTCCAGTCCCAGGGGCCCATCACTTTCTTCTGGTCTCTGAGGCACATACATGTAAGCAAAACATTCATACACACAGAACAATAAAATAATTTTTACAAAATTAAAAAATAAGAACAGAAATCGGAATTGTCCCCTAGTTCCACAACTCCTTCCCCTCCTCTGCTGCCCACCCCCATCCAACAGGAAAGAAAAGGACTAGAGAATGAGACATTGCTGCTCCAGAGAGTAACAACTGGCAGAAAAACAGCACAGAGTCCAGGCTCGGGATCTAGTTGGATCGGGAGATGACAGGATTTCATCCTATGGAGTTTGGCCCCTTGAACAAAAACAGGGCTGATGTCCTTGCATGCTTTCTGAGGAGTGTCATGATCAAGAGTCAGCAATAATATACTGGGCCACCACTCTGTGCTCAGTTTTCAACCTTTAAAAAAAAAGAATCCTTGGGCAGGGCATGGTGGTGCATGCCTTTAATCGTAGCAGTCAGGATGTAGAGGCAGGCAGATCTCTGTGAGTTCAAAGATAGCCAGCCTGGTCTACATAGTGAGTTCTAGTACAGCCAGGACTATAAAAAAGAGACCCAGTCTCAAAAACAAAACAAAACAGAATCCACATCTGGATTAACACAAATCATAATGACCTGGTTGATGACACATGGTCAAACCTAGGTCCCACAGTTACATGAATGTGTGATGGTTTGGAAGAGAAACATAACGACAGCCTATGGCAAATGGGGCCCTAATTCCCTTGAGAAAAAGTAGCCCAGTCTACCTGCTAAGCAGACTCCCTTTGGGCTCTGGTCTTGAAACAGGTGACTGTGTCCTAGTCTGGCTTGAATTCCAGCTCTGCTATTCTCTGGGGCATGACCAAACAGCCTGCCTGGGGGTTCCCAGGGCTCATTTCCCTCATCTAACCCACGAGGGAAAGGAGAGAAGGGGATAACTAGGCTGTTGTAAATCCCCTCTCACCCTGCCTCCCTCTCTCCCTCACACCCTCCAGCCTGTACCAATGTTTCATGATTCTTCATTCAGGCATTCAGCAACATCAGACTAAGTTGACATGTCCCACCTTGTTAAGGCTCCCCTGAGAAGCAAGAAGACCTCTAGGAACAGTGAAGAGATTGACAGCTGTGCTCAGCTGGAACTAAATTCCTGGCTCTCTGGCTCCTGAAGGATATGAGGTCCAAGCTATGATCAGCATTAAGATGGAGATTGTGTCCACTGTCTACAAATGCTTCATGCATGAGTAACAGTCAATGAAAGCTAGTGGACTGGGATGCCTGTGTGTCAGATCCTTCATGCTGTCACTGCTTTATACCCAACACCACCCATGAGGCCTCTAACAGAGGCCCTCTAACAGAGACCCAAGAAAAGAATCTGGTCTAGTTGCTCAGCTAACTAGCTACCCAGCAAATATCTAGGACAGTATGAAAACCACATGTTTTGAATTCAGGAAATGCTGAGGAGGACATAGCAGGAAGAAGCATCAGTTCTCCCAGACACAATGGATATACTCTTGAGCACTCCTTCATCTTCCTAAGTTAAGCTGACATTTGACAACATGTAACAGCATGACATTTGTGGCACAGACATTTTACACGTGTTGAAGTCGCACATGAGCATCTGTTTCCATTACCAAAGAGCTGCTCATTTTTAACATCGATAAACCTATCAAGGGTTTAAGAGTTTAAAAAAGAACAAAGCCACACCTTTAATGTCAGCTCTCAGGAGGCAGAGGCAGGTAAATATCTTTGAGTTCAAGGCCAATTGGTCTACATATCATGTTCCAGGACAGCCAAGGCTACAAAGCCAGTGTTATCCTATTCAAAAGCTTGGAGAGACCAAAGAACATGGATGTTGAATAAAGAGATCAAAGAGAATCTAAACAGTTTGGGGATTATGATGCAGCCATGTTACAGGGACAAGCCAGCACAATGGAACCAAGCAGGACCAAGAAGGAAAAGGAGCAAAATGAAAAGAAAAGTCCCATAATAAAACATAGGAGACAGCACCTAAATGAGTGAGAAACACGCCATCATGTTATTGACAATTAATCTCTGATAGCATGCCATACTCTTCAGGTTACAGCTAGGGTGTGTTGAATGAGTGAATCAACGGATGAATAAATATAAGGGAAGGAGGTATATCTTTCAGAGTAGTTTGAAGATTAAAAGAAACTGGATGCATTAAACTGGCTGGAAAATCTTGAATGTTCCATGAACTTCTCTTGAATCTAGTTTAGCCTCAGAGTAGTTTAGGGGCAGATCAGAAAAAAAATGACATTTATGTGCCTTCATGGTAAAACAATTACAACTGCTCCAAGGTATTGTTAGCTGTTATTAACGCTAATATCTCCTGGGTAGACAAGAACAGGAGGACATCAGAGACTGCAAAGGCCAGGTAAGTGAATGGCATTCAAAGAGTCAGAAAACTGGAAGCTAGCCTACCTCAGTACTCAAGCACCATGAGCTGGGTCATGATTTAATTATTGGATGAAACTCACTAAAATGTATCTCTCCCTAGGTCCAACACACCTGAAGGCTGGCAGTACATTCTTTGCAGGATTGGGGTTGGAAATTTGATGCCTCCTTACCCTGACATCACTACAGAAGAAAGGAGAAGACAGTTGGTGAGTGAATTCCTGTGGTCCCAGAAACTGAACTTCTCAGGAATGACTCATTCGGGCCTCACAGTGATGCCCTGCTGTAGATATACTCAACTCCATTTTACAAGGGAGGGAACTGAGATTTAATGAGTGACTGTTGCTGTTTGGAGCACTGGAGACTGAACCCAGGCCTTGCACCATGCTGAACATTACTCTGTGTCTAAGCTCCAAGCCGCATCATCCCCCTTTCCTGCCCCCACATCTAAGAGAGGTTAAAATTTCCTATGAGACAAAGGTGGGATGGAAACTTAGAATCCCAACCTAGTGTCCAAATACAAGTTTCCTCCGTATTTGACCAATAAAACAAGTGAATTCTAACATCTACTGTGGAATCAGGGGAGGCAAGGGAGGCTGGGGA